AAAAAGAAAACAACAAAGAAGCAATTGGCCCAACAGATTGAGAACACAAAATCTCTGATTATAGTTAAACTGTATTAGCAGTCAAAACGGGTGAGGGGAGGAAAGTTCCCAGATTTAGGTAGATTTCTGTATTAACCTATTTCTCAAATGTGAAATCACAAAAGTGACAAAGTAGTTAGCAAACTAATTTACTGAGGAATATCTGGGTTCTATATACTTAAATCCAATGCTCAGGGAAATCTGACAACTATTAAATTGCAGTTGGGAGAGTGAAAAGGAGTAAGACAAAATTCAGTTTACAAAATATATTCCATCATCTCTTTTTTATAGGTTAAAAAACACAAAAGAAATACTTGAAAAGATTTTTCTAAGATGGAAACACTTTAAGATTGTGTGAGATATTTTTTGTTTTTAACAGGTACGTAATAAATTTTGTTTTGTTTTGTTTCTCTTGTTTTTTTTTTTTCTTTCCCCCATTTTCCCCCTGTTTGCAAAGTTGAATCTGGGGTCAGGAGTTCTAATTGTAACCTCAGACTGGAATTCCAGATGGTGCACTCAGGACTGGAAGCAACTCTCAGTTCATCAATTTCATGGGCCTACGTATCTGCTCTGGCCACGGCCTGGCCTCTATCCCCACTGTGGCATTAATGCAGAACAAATTGAGACATATCCTCTATATAATTAGTTCCAGAATTTAAAAAGATTTACGGTATAATAATAGAGGCAGCACTGAGGAATCCTTTCATTGGGGACTCTTGGGGAGCTCAGGGACCATCTCTCGGTGGCATCAGAACTGCCACGGGTAACCCGGACGGCTCCTGGCACCGAGAGCTGGGGGAGAGGGGAATTTTTTTGCACCGTGCACCAGAGCAGTGCACAATGATTGTGGGCGCCTAAACCGGGTCAGAGAGAGTTTGAAGACTGATCAGAGATCGATGTAATTTTTAAATTAACAGAGAAAGCCCGGGGGTGGGCTCTGCCACAAAATCCCCTCTTTTGCTTTGAAATCTATTTTAATTTTAGAAATGAAGCTGTGATTTTTGCCGCGGCGTCGGGCTGGAAACCAACTGAAGTGCCTACGCAGCAGCCCAGCGTGGGCAGATTCCGAAGAGCTGGAGTTGGCTGGGAGGGGAGGAGCAGCGGTTGAGCTTAAGGGGTCCCGGAGCCGGCCAGGGTGCAGCTAATCGAGAGAGCCCTGTTCCTCTCAGGCGACGCGCGGCCAGGAGGTCGAGCCACTCTTCACGCCGATCTGCGGCCCAGGGCACTGGCTGGCGGCCCCAGCCCTTGACAGATCGCAGTGCTTCGGAGTGTTTATTCAGTTGTCAGCAGCCGCCGGGTGACCGCCAGAGCGCGGCCCCGGAGGCGTGCGCGTTGGTCCCTGGGGCCGTGGCTGCAGCTGCCCGGCTCCGTGCTAGGTCATAGGCAGTTAACAGTGCCTGAGTGAAAGTGGGGGGCTGAGGTCCTCACTACCTCCTCCCACCTAGTTGCGATTTCTTTTTCATCTTGCAATACTTATGCACCTTCTAGGCCGGAATGCATGCATTATGCCAAAGTACTAAAGCCACCTGGGCTTCCCGGGTATCGCCGGTTTTTCCTCATTTCCCTGGTTTTAGAGAGGCAGAGGAGTGATGGTTAAAGCCATTGCTGGATGACCTGGACATTCAAAGACCTACGTTTCATCTCAGCTTTACCACCACCTTGCTATGTGCCCTTGAGCACTAATGGTAGCAAAAATCGTAGTTTATCAAGTAAATAAGTCAACACTACCCTCCTAATCTGCAGGACAACCCCACGAGGTTGACGCTACTATCACACTCTCTCTTTGACGGAAGAGGAAACTGAGGCTCAGAAAGGCTACAGAACTCATCTAGGGTCACACCGCTATTGGCTGCCTCGCAAAGTTGAGATTCCATTCTCAAGGCATTTACCCCTTACTCTTAACCTCTGTGCTCCACAGTTTGCCTTTCTGGGTCTTTCTTTCTCTATAGAACATGGAGTTTAAATTTCAGCTTTGCCATCAGGAATCCAGCAGGGATCCTCTTTGTCCTGGGTTCCTGCGCTGACAGGAGAGAGTAGAGAGCATCCAATTCTCTGCAACCTTCTTTTCACCAGCTGAAGGAGGTGCAGGATGGATGAAAGGTGCATCACCCTGTTCGCTCCTCCACACCCAGCTCAGGGAGCCTAAGCCAGTATATCCACCGGGATAACAGTAGGACTTCCATGAAGAACCTTACACAGGGGAAGGGAGATGAGATGGGACGCATGGGTGCCCCGTGACCCCAGAGATTTGTGGGTTCTTCAACCCTGGCTTATGGATGCCTGGGCTCCAGGGCATAAGGGCTGAGTAATGAATGTTCAGAAGCCGTTTTGGGGGCGGCTACTGGCAATTTTCTCTGTCCAGGGAGCTGCATGGAACTCCTCCCACAGCTTCACACTGAGAAGTCAGGGCAAGGAACACCTTGGTGTGGAAATGGGGCTGGCATTTCCTCCGTTTCCCTTCAAGGATGCCAGGAAAACAAGTGGCAAAGACAGAAGATTCCCAAGTTGCTGGGTGCTCCTTCTTCCCACCCACCTCTGTGCCCCATCTGACCCCAACTCACCCCCAGGGCCAAAACTTATCTTTTAAATACTGAGGTAGAGATTTAAGTCTCTTTGCCCTATCTGGGATCCAAAATCACACGACCTCCTATTCAAGCCAGACTCTCTACATTTTTTCACTCCCTGTCCGCCCCCAAAAAAAACTTGCAAAGGAAAGCAAAAGAGAAAATCTTGGTCTTTTCCTTTGGAACTGGAACTCTGGCTTTTCATCAAAAGCTCTTCTTCTCACAGAGCTTGAGTCGTAGCAGTCAAGGGAGGGAAAAAAAAAAAACGACTTCGAAGTAGAAATAAGAGGTGGGGAAGATAAAAGGGAGAGACAGGGATCTGGAGCATTCCAGAGGCAACTTGGCTTGAGAAATTTTGTCTCCAAGGTCTGTCTCTACCAAAAAGACCCAAACGCATGTGGCCCTGCTTAGAGCCCCTCTACAGGTTTAGAATGGATAAGGAGGGATAAGAGGTGGCAGAATGAAAGGGGAAGGAGCTGGCCTCAAGAGCTTTATTTGGGAAAAGGAAAGGGAAGGGAAGGGGAAGGCGAGGGGGGGAGAGAGAGGGGGAGAGGAAGCCGGAGAGAGAGAGAGCACGCGCAAAAGAAAATCTTAGTAAAGAGGAAGCAAAGTAAACAAAATCAAACACCATTTGTAGCGCAGAAAGGTGTCCACCTCTGCGAAAGTGGAAGGGAGAGCAAGCGGATAGCTCACGTTTCCAACTTTTGCCCTCAAGGTCTCTTGTGCCTAGGGGATGCGCAGCCCAAGAGGAAGAGGAATCGCGCACACGGACTTCCTGAACCTGCACATACTTCGGATCCACAGCCAGAATTTACAGCGGTTGTGTTTACACCATGCAAGTTAAAACCTTAGTGTAACAAATGGACAGTAAATTAAGGGCGTCGAAATGCTTTGTTAAACTGCGTCTGCTTCCATTGTTGCTTCGCGTAGGGTTGTCTGGAAAGCTGTGAGTCCTATTCTGACCCGCCTGATGCGGGAGGCCTGACTGTGATCGGCCGCTTCCCGCCGGGCACGCCTGTCGGTTCCAGGCTGCGCCGTCGCCGCTGACTCCTGGCGGTTCCTGGGCGTTTCCTCGCTCACTTCATTCCGGGATCCCCTTCTCCTTGCTTATGTGTTGATCCCCAACAGATCTTGACTACTTTAGAAGAACTAAAACCAACCCTACCCCTCAGCACCTGCTCTAAGGCGCGAGGATCCCAGCTGCTAGGTGGAGCAAAACCACGAATTCCGAGTTCCGAAATCCGAATGGTGCGAACAGTGCCACCGGCCTTGGGCCAATGGAGTCTCTTCCTGCCCTATTTCCCATCGGCCTAACTGGCTTGCAACTTCTGGTTAATCACTGTGCACCTAGAACGGCTTCCCCGGGATCAGGAGCAGAAGCAGTGCTTGGAAGAGCAGCTCTAGGAGCCACCCTCTCCCCATCGGCTTGGTGCCCAAACCCTTCCCATTTCCCTTCCTCCCTCAACTGGGCGCCAGGATGCTCCAGCCGGAAAAGAGCGCAGGCACTGGGCGTTTCCCCAGGAGTCCCCCCCCCCAAACTAGCCACTGTTGTCCCGGTTTAACCGTATAAAAAATAAGTACTCCCCAGAAAGGGAAACTAAGTGCTTCTGACATGGATTTTAGGTAGGCGGCAACCGTCTTCCGCTGGGCTCAAACCTCACCAAGCAATCAACTACTAGACTACTAGTAGTCTTGTAGTAACTAATGCGGCTCGCACTGGTTATCTACCTGGGGTATTTTCATCTGTAGTCCCGATCTCTGGAACTCATAGGGACCGGTCCCTTCCCAGTAACCTGTAGGACTCTAGAAACAAGAGCTGGACTCTCGGATGCAAAGAAAAGGTTTCTGCCTCCGAACCCCTGAGAGTTCTCGGTGCTTTTTAAGTTCCCGCCCTCTTGGAGCCCACCTGCTCCTCCCTCCAACCCGCCCTCTCAGATTAACAACCCATCTGTACTCCTACAGCTTTCAGATGCTGAGGAGATTCGTAGCTTACCTGGAGGGACTTGCCAGTGCCGCGGGGCGCCCACACTCTCCAAGGCCCAGTAGGGGAGGTAGGGGGAGGGCTGTGCCATATAGGCCAGTTTGGAGCGCGTGGCGGGTAGAATAGGAGAGAATGCCTCGGAAACAGACGCTTCTCCAGGCCCGCCCCCGCCCCCGCTGCAAGGGCGCCCCCAAGGAGCAGCGCGCGCTGCCTGGCCGGGCTTGGGTTGCTGTGTGAATGGAGCGGCCAAGCCTCCTTGACTCCTCCTCCTCTCCCGGCGCCGGCCCCTCTTATTTGAGCTTTGGGAAGCTGGGGGCAGCCAGGCAGCTGGGGTAAGGAGTTCAAGGCAGCGCCCACACCCGGGGGCTCTCCGCAACCCGACAGCCTGCCGGCTCCCCCCTTCCCTCCCTCCCTCCCACTCATTCACCCTTCCACCCAGACCCGGGACAGCAGCCCAGGGGCCCCGCCGCCTCCTCGCCGCGATCCTGGACTTCCTCCTGCCGCAGGAGCCGGCTTCCACGTGTGCCCCGGAGCCGGCATCTCAGCACACGCTCCGCTTGGAGCCTGAGTGCCTTCAGCAGCCTGAGCAGCCGGGGGACCGAAGTCCTGGCGGCATCTGGACCAAGTTAGTCGCTTCCGAGTCCAGCGTCGAGCGTCCGCAGGGCCGGAGGAGCCGCGGGGTGTCCGGAACTGAGCCGCAGCAAATGGGCTCCGACGTGCGGGACTTGAACGCGCTGCTGCCGGCGGTACCCTCTTTGGGTGGCGGTGGCGGCTGCGCTTTGCCAGTGAGCGGCGCCGCGCAGTGGGCGCCAGTGCTGGACTTTGCGCCCCCGGGTGCTTCGGCTTACGGTTCGTTGGGCGGTCCTGCGCCACCGCCGGCTCCGCCGCCACCTCCGCCGCCGCCGCCGCCTCACTCCTTCATCAAACAGGAGCCGAGCTGGGGGGGCGCGGAGCCGCATGAGGAGCAGTGCCTGAGCGCCTTCACCGTCCACTTCTCCGGTCAGTTCACCGGTACAGCTGGAGCCTGTCGCTACGGACCCTTTGGTCCTCCCCCGCCGAGCCAGGCGTCCTCCGGCCAGGCCAGGATGTTTCCCAATGCGCCCTACCTGCCAAGCTGCCTCGAGAGCCAGCCTGCTATTCGCAACCAGGGTGAGTAGGCCGGGGAGCGCCCCCTACACGCGGGGGCAGCGGCCCCGGGGCTCTAGTCACCCGTGGCCTCTTCCTTATACTACCCCATCCCATCTCTTAGCCGGCTGCCTGTCCAGAGGCGGCGAGAGTAGCGGTAGCGGCGGCGGGAGAGAGTGTACGCCCGCATCGGCTTTAGACGGCTTGCACGGCAGAGTGAAGTTGGGAGCTCGAAAGTTCGCTTGAGCCGGGAGGCGGTTTGGGGCCTTTCGGAGCTTCCAGGACTGTTAGTCTCCACGGAAATAGGAAGAAGAGACTAGTGCAGTGTATGGTTCTGCCTTGAAAAGAGGTCTTGTTGCTGAAGGTACCACCCAACTGTCGTTAAGCATTGGGTTTTTTAGATATCCAGACTGGATTAGGAGGGGGACAAGCGCGGGATGCTCAGCCTGCGCTGCTTCCGTCGCTGCAAAATGTCAAGGAACATCTCTAGCCCTTAATAACAGTGTTGTCCCGCATTTGGTGTACAGGTACTGGGGAACACTAGAATGAGGGGATGAATGGGCCAGTGACTAGATGGCTTTTTGGAGCATTGTTCGCGTCCGAGTATAGCTCTAGGTTATTGTAAAATGAAAATCTCTCTGGGGTTTTGAAAAGGCAGAGGTCACGCAGGCTGCAGGAATAGAAGAGAACCCGGTTTATCCGATTCCACGCTCTTGGGAGCCAGATCTTAACTGCAGGCGGTGACATGAGTTCTTCCTTTCAGTGCTACTCGGTGCTTTTTCGTTGGGGGTTTGCGGGATTCAGCTGGGGACAAAAAAAAAATTTTTTTAAGAGACTTGGGGCTAGAACAAAGGTTTATTCGTCTTGTTCAGTCAACATGAAAGAGCCTTGGCGCACAATAAGTATGTTTTATCATCCCGTACTGGAGGCTCCCTGCCTTCCATCAGGGCCAGCGCAGACCCTGTCTTACTGCTCACTGGTAGTTTGGTCTCTTCATTTATTCTCATTTGACTTCTTTGCTGTTGAGAATCTAGACTAATTTGGTTTGGTTCGATATTTTAGGAAATGCTTTGCTAACACAATGGCGGATGCTTTTCCTGGAGCAAAATTAGTGAGGCCCAGGAACTGGGCTTTTTCTGAAATGCGTGGGATGAAAGATCAGGGTGTGAACTGTTTGCAGAAGGTGTTGCGCTCTCAAGTCGTAGAAGGAAAGCTGTTCTTGCCGCCTTGGTCCCTTCCTTCTTAAAGCATGTCTTGAGGCCATTTCTACTTTAGTCCACCTTGGAGCACCTGGCCAATCCAAAATTCCTAGCGAAACCGAAACCGCCCTTTTGGTCAAGAGAATCTGGGATCCGTGTCGTGCGGAGCAACCTTGAGCACACTCAAGGGGTTCCTCCACTCTAGGTCCTTTCAAAATGAAATTAGCAGTTTTTACTTAACGGATAATGGGACAGCTTAGTGTTGATCGCAGAGGTTCGTATTCTCCCACGGAGCCATCTCTGCTTAGCATACAGGTGCTACATTTTGCGAATCTCCGGGTCTGGTTTTTCATCTGTGAGAGAACAGAGTTGGGCAAACTTGAGCTTGGATCTGGGCAAGAGTTATACACCAGAGGTGCAGAAACATTGCCCTTCTCAGTGTTTGGGGTCAAAACACAGAAGGTACCAGCCCACCTAAATATCGCTGGGCCAGATAACAGCTCCACTGGCAGGCAGGTGTATGCTGTGAGCCTTGGGGATATGGGCTATTTGGAGAGGCTGGAGAAGCAACTGGGTTCTAACCTCCTGGGGTCAAAAATACTGTTGTGTCATTATCTTTGTATTTGAGTCCTCTAGGGGTTGGATTCAGATTTTTGAAACATGGGCTCTGTTGCTTGGATTTGGGTCCAGCCTTTTGCAGGCAGCTCTGTTTTCCTGATCCCATCAATCTGGTATGGGGAGCTGGGAGTGGTCACTACAAATCTGGGGAAAATCCAGATTCCTCTAGACAGTCCCAGCCGCCAAAAGAATAGAGAAAAATCACTTGAGGGACAAGGACCAGAAGGAGCAGGTGAATGCGAGTTTCCACCCTTACTGCACCTCCAGGGAAAAGCCCGGTGAAGAAGATATCCCTAGACTAAGGTCATATAGCTTGTAATCCAGTTTCTGCCTATGAGTTTTTGCTCCTAGTAAAAACGAATGGATCCAGCATGCCTATCCCTTGGGGCTCACTTGGCAATAGAAGCTGGGTTGGTATGTGAGAAGCTGCTACTTTGGGTAGGCAGCAAGGACGGGCCCTTGAGATTCCACATTTATTCCTTTGGTTTTTCAGGGTCCTGTGGCTGCCCCCAGGTATGCAAGGCCTAATCTGAGGCTTGGAAGGGAAAAGCAAAGATGCCAGCTCTCTCCAGAAAGGGTTACAATGGTGATCATAACTCCCAAGACCAAACTGCAGGCTCTTGGGCTTTGGTTACCTTCCCTCAAGCAGGACCATAGGCAAGGGCAATTGCTGATATTGCTGGCATCCGCTCACCCCCACCCCAAGCTTCTTATAAGCACTTTATTTTTCTTGTATTTCATAAATATAGCTGACATCTTCTAAATATTAATTTAGCAAACATCAACTGCCTACACTATGCCAGGCACTGAAGACTGAATGTTAAGACAATTAATGGCCTCAGGAACCTTTGCAAGAAGCTCACAGCCTGACACTGAAGGACACTTTTATTTCTGGATGAGAAAATTCAGGGGCTAAGAGATTAGGTGTGCAAGAGGTCTCTCAGGTTGTGATAGAGGTGGAGATTAAAGTGAGACTATTCTAGGGGTCTTTTCTAGAGATCTTGACCTCAGTGTGGAGTTTGATTTGTTCTGCTTAGTTGGACGAGCACTGAACTACTTGTAATGTGTGTGATGGTTGGAAAGTCTGTCCAGGTGTAAGTGGGAGTGAGGATTTTTCTAACCCCAGCCCAAAACAGGGTTAGGAAGGGAGGGAAAAAGAGAAGGGAGAAGAAAAGGGGAAAGAGAGAAAAGAGAAATGTTGCTTCCAGGCAGCTCTTGATCCCAAAGAACAAGCTCAGGACTAGGCCTTGGATCTCCAGGCTATTGCATGGGCACATGGTCAGAGGAATTACGCCCGAGGGTCAAAGCGCCCCCCTCTGGTCACACAGGACAGGGTATTTCTTGGGGGAAAGATGTTCCCAATCCCACTACCGCTGTGGTTATCACTTTCAGCCTCCTGAGCACCTTCCTGGCTGTCCATTCCATCCCTTAGCTTCCCCAGGGCTCCGCGGGCAAGGCAGTTCCCGGGATCCTCCGCAGCCGCGGGCGGGGGAGAGGGGTTCAGAGCGTGTCTCGCCTCTCCCAGCGGTCAAGGTTGCGCTCCCTTCCCGGGCCAGGACTAACCGTGGGAAAGGCGCTACCTTGGCTGCTAGGGCCTCTCCCTTCAAGGCCTGTACAAGGAGCCTTTGAACACGCTGCTCCTTCCCGGCTGCATCTGTCCCTCCTCCAGCCCCCGCCCCCGCTCTCCTCGCCCGCCCCGGCGCAGGGCCCGGGCACGGTGCGCCCTAATCAGCCCTGCGTCCGATAAGCTTCTAATTAAAACAGCCCTCCCTCAGCTCAGCAGGCGCTTTCATCACTGCCCCTCCCGGAGAACCCGAGGGGGTGGTGGTTCGAGACTGGTCTCTGCTGGCCGAGAGGTCGGTGTCCCGTCCGGGAAGGGGACTAGGGAGCCTCACGGGACACCAGCATCCTTGGGCCGGTGCGATTCTGGACCACGGAGTCGGTGCCGAAGCTGCACTCGGGGACCCGCAGCTCCCAAGACCGCGTGGGCCTCGGGTCACTGCCTGCTCATCAGCTCAGGAATGGAGAAGGGTTTGTCTATAGAAAATTTCTCGCTTTTATTTCCACCTCCTCCTCATTTAAAAAAAAAAAAAAAAAGCCCTTTCAGAAATTCGGTCTTCCCTCTGGGCAAAAATGGGTACCCAGAGCCAAATTTCGTTTGTAAGCTGATTTGGAGGCCTCAAACGGCCAGGCCTCCGCTCCCTAAAAGAAGTTCCTGGAAGCCTAAGCGTGCTCACTCACGCCCAAGAGCTAACTGGAAGGGGGTTAACCTGTCCTTACTCAGCAGGCAAGAAATGGAGGGTTTCATGTAGATTATAAAAGCTGGTAGTTTCTTAAATCACCAATCTTTGGCACCAATCTTTGCCTGACCTATACCATCCGGGTGATTCCCTCCTTCCATCCCTCTCTGAAACACCACGGAAGGGAGCTGTGTTTTATTGCCACATAGTGAACAAAAGAGACTCGATTTTGGGGGAGTGGGGGGAGGGTGGATGACTGTGTTCCAAAGATGGAGGTAATTGGCCTCCAATCCCTGTCCTGATCAAGTCTTCTTGGACACTTGTTGCAGAATCTTGATCATCCCCGGGGAATTGGAACCGTTTGCCCTGCCTCAGTCCTGGGAATTTTATGAGGTTTGAAGATCCAGAGCACGTTGAAAAGACCTGGGGCTGGCTTGTAGTGGCCAATGTAAATGTCCTGCCCCACTTCCTTGCCAATTGTTTTGAACCTCAGGTCACAGCCTTCAGAGCTTGAGCATAGATGAAAGGTCTCAGGAGTGACCTTTAGCAAGGATATTTTCTCCCTGGGGGCACCAACAATTTTCAAAAAGCGGGTGGATTGAATAGGTTTAAAGCAAATTTAATAACAGCATAAAAGCCTACATTTTCCAACTGAGACACCACATTCCTTTTCTCATCTTTGAGGGACACGAAGAACGTGATAGTTTCTCGGTAGACAAGCTGGGCACTGCCATGGAGGGAAAGGGAGATATATTACCAGGTATATAGTACCACCTTGAAAGAACCCCGTTTTTTGGTCGGTGGTGTGAGGGAGTTGCCAGGTGGATCAAGAGAGGTAGGGGGACATGGGTCTGGGGTTAAGGTTTCCGGGGCCTACTTTCCCCCTCCCACTTCCCCCGCCCCAGCTTTCCCTAGGGCCCAGGGTGTCCTGGTGTCGGTTGTGCAGCCCAGACAGATAACATGACTCGGTAATTACTCCCCCCATTTAAAACGCAGGCCGTTTAACTGGCTCCGAGTAATTAATGAAAGTTGGTGCGCGGGCCCCTGATTTACAGCTCAGAGTCAATGCGGGGTCAGCTCAGCAGATTCATTTCGCTCGCCCATGCTGCCCCAGCGCGAGAACCGCGGTTTGTTTTGGGGGGAGAACAACTTTCTCCGCCCAGCAGGCGACAGGTTTTTATACCTGATCTGCCGTCGGAGGTTCGGTTTAGAAGCGACAGTCACAGTGGAAGATAAAAGCATAAGCAGATTGGGAAACAGCGGGAAACTCGGCGTTTGGGCTGGGAATGAATGGGGAGCCTGTTGGAGATCCTTCTCCAGGATTTGGGCCTCGGCTTCCTTTGGGCAGGTGGAGCGGAATTATATCCTCTGCCGTGAACCCGAATTCAGTGATGAGGCATCCCTCCGCCCTGATTCTGGTTCAGATCCAGGGTCTCTACCTCCCCAAGAGCTTCGCTGATCCTGAGCTTGTCTTCTCGGCCTCTCCTGCAGGATACAGCACAGTCACCTTCGACGGGACGCCCAGCTACGGTCACACGCCCTCGCACCATGCCGCGCAGTTCCCCAATCATTCCTTCAAGCACGAGGACCCCATGGGCCAGCAGGGATCTCTGGGTAAGCCGGTGTCGGCGATGATGTGTGTGGGTCTTTACACGCTTTTTCTAGACAATTGCCCCTTTCTCGGAATTTTCAACCTATAGCAAGTTGGGGAAGAGAAAAGAGGACATCCAAAGGAATCTTAGGAATAATTAGACAAATTTCATCATTTAGAACGATGGTCTCTCCTTCCATCCCCAGTGCGTTAAGTAAAGCGCTGCTCAACCAAGTCTACGTTTGTCCCGAGAGCTTTTTCGGGCCACGCATTGACTGCTATGGGAAGGTAAAGCTTTTAGCTTGCTACAATCTGGGCGGCCTCAATGATCACGCCCCAGAATGCAGGCCCCAGTGCCCTCAGCTCAGCATGCCCCGTCCCCTACCCGCTGTCCATAGCACTCGTGGGGTGCGCTCAAACTGCTGTCTTTGGCTCTCTCGTCAGGCGAGCAGCAGTACTCCGTGCCGCCCCCGGTTTACGGCTGCCATACCCCCACCGACAGCTGCACGGGGAGCCAGGCCCTGCTGCTGAGGACGCCCTACAGCAGGTAAGAAGTTGCTGAGCAGTGTGATGGGTCCTGGGAACTCTCCAGGTGGCGGGAACATCAGACACCGGGCAGCACTGACTGCAGGCATGCAGGGTTCTGGAGTCAAAAGACCCCTTCACCTTTCTACCTGGCCAAAAAGCAAATCTCCCTCGTCTCCTGGTTGTTTTTTGTTTTGGATATAAATGAGGGCAATTGCTGTATGGAACTAAAGAAGAAGGAGCGCCACTTCCAGAGAAGTTATTTTTTAAAAGACTCTTTCCTGGGAGTTTTATAACTTCCTCGATACTAAAGATTGAACAGGGAGTCCATCCCTCTCTATTCTTCCCCTTCGCCCGCTGGCCACACTGGCCAGAATACTTAGACGGCACTTACGGTGGTCCACATCCTTCTCTCCACCCAACCAACTAGACTTTTGGCCTGCAATGCTTTGTAAGCGTCTTTCCCAGCATCGTCCTGGCTGTGCGCCGGGGCACGACCCCAGCATGGGTGCCACAAGATGATCGGGTCATACGTAGCGGGGCCTGGCGTGTGCCTTGCTCCAGCCCGCAACACCGTCTTGCTCTTCGCTGGAGGCAAAAGACCAGCCCCCCCTTCTAAGCTCCTCCCCCGAGGCCCTTTATCCTTCTCTTCCCCCAAATTTATTTTTCAACTTTGGGTGAACTTGGCCGGCATCCCGCGTCCCTGATAGGGTTGCCTAGTAACTGTGGCGCACACCCGGGCCTGCGCTGGGCGGGAAGGTGGGGCGGGGGCAGGAAAGTGTCCTCGCTGCTGCCCTTGTGGCCCAGGATTGGGCGCGCATTACCTCATAGCCTCCCCTTCCCCGGGTGCTGCGGGGATCCTGACACCGACTGCCCCCAAACCCATCCCCATCCTCCCGCCCCTCCACGCGCAGACCCGGGGCTGACGTCAAGGGAAGGAGGTAGTGAGGTAATGAAGGAAGGAAAAGCGCCTGTCTTGGGAGATTGGGTGGGGGAATGGCCGCGCCTGGGGACCTCCCGTCAGGCAGGTGGAGGAGGGGCGCGTCCTTGTTATTGAGTATGCAGCAGCGCATCCCAATGTCCCAGCTGCACTTCTGAGATTGTGCCTGGGACTGGTCTGACTCTCTCACCCCGGAGATCATTTCCTAAAAGTTTCTAGAAAGGTATAAGGTCGCGCTTCTTCTGTTTCTGACGCCTGAAGAACGCGGACTTAAAACCTTTACTTTTTATTTGAAAATTTGACATATCTAATCAGATCTTTTGATGGAGGGGAAGTTGGGAGAAGCAGAGAAATGGATGAAGGTCACACTGAGGCCAATAGTCACACCTGCACACCCTGCTTTTGCTCCCTCCCTAGCTAGAAACCATTTTTGTTCTGGCATCACAGACCAGCAGACCCACCTTCTACCCCAAGCCTGCCATCTAGGCCTCCTCTTGGTGGTCAAGTCACTGAATGGTTACAGAATTCACATCCATTCTGTGCTGAAACCCCTTACCTTAGCAGAACTGTGGCACTTGGGCCATTGACATCCTTCTTAAGCTGCTTGCTCCTGTTTATTGCCGGGGTGTCATTGCTGTTATTTTAGTAGCTGTAAGGGGACCAGTTGGAATAGTTCCCTATGGGAACACCTTGGCCCACCTCTCTCTCCTTGGCACCATGTGGAGTTTCCCCCAAGTCACACCCCAGGCTACAGGAAGATTCTGGTATAGGAGTGGGCATTGTTGACGAAGGCTCCATATCTCCTTGGGATTTGAGGACTAGGAGGTGTTGATGTCTTTCGCAGTAGTGATGATGTGCTACGTGCATATCCCTTGCTTCTGCCAAGCCTGGACTCTGTGGGACTCTAGGAGGGGGCCCATCAGAGAAGCTGAGCAGCCGAAACAGAAGAGTCCCAGGATGAAGTAATCACAACCAGTGGTTTAATGGTAGTTCTCCAAACCACATCCCTGAGGTGGATTTTGATTTAGGGCTGAATTTGTGACTACTGTGGAAGTAGACAGGTCATTCAGATGTTTTTGTTTGTTTGTTGTTCTCCTCCTCTTTTTTTAAAAAACTTTTTTGGTGTTGGAAATTGAATCCAGGGCCTTGATCATGTTAAGCACAGGCTCTACCACTAAGCACACCACTAGTCCCTGGTTGTATTTTATATACAAATTTCCTTCCTTCCTTCCTTCTTTCATTCCCTTCTTTCTTTTGTCCTCCTTCCCTCCCTTCTTTTTGGTACCAGGGATTGAACCCAGGGACACTCAGCCACTAAGCCACATCCCTAGCCCCTTTTTATTTTTTATTTTGAGACAGGGTCTTGCTAAGTTGCTTAGGGACTCACTAAATTGCTGAAACTGGCTTCAAACTTGTGATCCTCCTGCCTCAGCCTCCTGAGCTGCTGTGATTATAGGCATGTGCTTCGTGCCTGGCAAATTTTCACATTTTCGAATCCGGCTTCTAATTGGTCACTATAGAAAGCAATTTTGTTAGATTCATCTTTTAGAAATATATGAAGACCACTAGAAGAAGATGTTCTTCTTTCTATGTAATTATGAAACTTTCTTTGGTTTTGTTTTTACATGAATTCTATCCTACAGTTTTCTTCTGTTGTAGAAATTTCCTCAGAAACATCTCAAAAAAGAATCTGTGACCCCTGTAGGAAAAGAGTTTGCTCCCTTAAAGTATGTGCTTTTGAATCTTTGACGTTCCAGCCAACCTAAATTCACAACATTGCCAATCACTTTTCCAAATCATGTCCCTCCCATGTACTAATGATGAATGGATAGGTAAATGGATGTTTTACAACTGGGCCTGTGCACCAGCATTACTATAGTTATATGGTTTTTTCTTTCCTATTCTAACATAAATTTGAAGGGTATTTAAATGCTTTTGTGAATGCCATGTTTGAAAAACATAGAAAATAAGATGAAATTTTAATTGTCCAATGGCTTACCTTTTGAATTTTATATATTCACTAGTTCTTTCTCCTAGTCCCTGGGTCCATTCCTTTTTCTTTCTAAAATTGGGGCCTCTTGGGAAAGACTTGCTTGTGTCTTGTCTGCTTTGTTGCATTTGACCCCCTGAGGCAGACTGCTCAGCTTTTCCCCACCATTTCCTCTCCCCTCCCCCACACAAAGCTTTTGTCTCCCCAGACTTGGACTCTTCTTTTTCTTTTCAACCTGAAATGGTGGCAGTGGTATATATCTGATATGAAATAAGCAGTGTACACTGTGAGTTTACTTTGAGAAATCTCAAGAAGTTCCCCTTCTTTCTTTGTCCCTTGCATAATTCTCTCCTCTCTCTCAGGTAACAGATCTGAGAAGTTACAGCTGCTCACATTATTGTGTGAATATGAACAGCAATGAATAGAAAATAGCCCTACTCAACTCACAGGAAGTGATTGGAAATGGTTTCCCTTATCCATCTGTCCTAGGCCCCTGGCCCCCTAATACTAAGGTGGGCAATTTTGTCTAAACATCACCAAAGCTTCTGAAACCACATGCTGGCCTTTATGGAACCCAGTGACCACAGCTGGATGAAAGCATGATTCCTTATAATAAGCCATGCTAGTTGTGTGCTGTTGGGCACTCTGCCAAGGGCTTCTTCAGTTCCCTCATTTAGCCTTTCTGACTACTCATGACAAAATTAGACTCAATTTGATGTTCTCAAGGTTATACAGTAAGTGAGAATTGGAACCAGGATTTGATTCTCAGTCTTTCTGTGCTCTGGATCACCAAGTATTGCTGGACCACTCGGTGTTCTTTGTCTGGATAATTCCCTTATACTTACTTCCATGCCTGCACCTTTTGCTGGTAAATAATAAGAGCAAATGCTTATGTAGATTTACTGGGCACCAGGTCTCATTGTAAGCACCTTACAAATCCTGACTTCTTTAATCCCCATAAAAACAAGTCAAGGTCAGCAATGGGTTATCACTCCCATTTTACAGAGGAAGAAGCTGAGGCCCTGAGAGGTGAACCTCCCCAGTGTGACACAGTAAGGGATAGATTTGTTGTTCAGATTCAAGTAGTGAGCTTTCAGAATCCATCCTCCTGCCCTCTGCACCCATGTGGATAATTGCCATTCTCTTTTTGAAGATGGCATTTGTCCTGGGTCTTACTGGAAGACTTTATCCCCCACAGTTGTGAAAGCCTTTTACAATCCCTAGAAAGCTCTTAGTGGCTCAGGGGGCAGCATTTTTCTTGGTGAATACTGTTAGAAGTGGACTTGAGCTTTCTCCTGAAATCCTAACTCACAAAACAGCTGTCTTTCAAACTCCAGACCACTCCATCTCTCATTACCAATGGGCATGAACTACTGGGGAGAAACTCAGTACAGGCACCTAAAGAATTCCAGGGCATGGACCTTTCTGTCCATTCATCTGACCCAGGAGGACTGACTACTTTGTGCTTGTCCAGAAGCAAGGTCCCAGGAAGGGCAGACCCCATTGATGTCCAGCGGGTAGCGGGTGGATAGTGAAGTCCAACCTCTGAATATCACCTCACCAGGCAGCCAGCTGAACCTTCCCTTCTTTCTTCCCTTGCTCCATCTTCTCCAGTCCTCTTCTCTCTCTTTTGCTTGCTGTCCTTGGAGCCCTTACTGCGCCTACTTCATGAATTGATCCTCTGAGCTGTTTTGAAAAGTTCTGGACTTTAAAGCATATTCCCATTCACACCGATTTTTAAAAAGACATTCTGTGTTTTTTTCTCTTTTATTCCTTTATTAGCTTTGTGTATCTTTCTTTAGCTACTGTGCTGGATAAATGAGAATATATCCATTTCCTCTATTTTGGCCCTTTATCAGGTAATACTGCTTCAACTCTGGAAGTATACTGCCTTTCATATGAGACAAACCTCCATGGCAGCCATAGGGGTTCTGTGGAATCTCAGCATCGGCAGGTCAATGGGAAGTGCACCACTCACCATTTGGGTTGGCCTCCGACTTAGACATAAATCAGATGACAACCGGTGCTTAAGAAAATAAAGGCATAATTAATAACGTCTCTTTTCATGTGCACCCATGTGAGTGTTACTTGGTGTTTTCACCTAGTACAATACTACCTATTTGCTTTCCACACAGGTAGGCAAAATGGAAGATCTCAAATACTTTGTCTGATGGTAGATAGTGTTATCAAAGCCACAGGCTTGAACTGAGCTTGTCTCCAGGGATAAGGAAAAACCAGTTCCAAATATTTCTGTTAATTTTTGTGCTGACCAAGTGTTTATTAATAAAAATCACACCCCCAGTGGGGTTTTCTCTTGGTTAGCTGGAGAGCTTGAGAGAAATTATAATACCAAGAAAGTGACTATGAAATAATTATTCACTATAGCCTGCTGGGCAGAAAGTTCAGGCAGGCAGCTTCCAAGATGCTTTGGAGGGAAGAGAGCAGGAAAGGGCCATGTGGATGTCTGCATGCAGCCTTAGCATGAAACTTGGTTAATAGGTAGAGGTAAACCAGCAGAGGCCTTTCCCTTAGTATGGAACAGGGCCATGATAGCAGAAACTGGAAAACATCATGAATTCATATCACAGAAACCAGTTATCTCAACTTTTTTTTTTTATCCAGTAGGGGAAACTTTTCTAGTACCAAGATGCTACTTTGCAAACAGCTAGCAATCATGTGGCAGAAGAAATCCTAATCTCAGCAAGGCTGAAAGATTCTGGTCCAGTGGTGACATGAACCTTTCTTTCTTGTCCTGCCCAACATAGTAAACACTTATGATGCAAAATGTGCTCGGATCACACGTGCGTTTGAAGAGTGGGGGAGTCCTGGTCTAGATAATAGCTAAGTTTTTTTTTTTTTTTTTCCTGCCTTTCTTTTTGTGCAGAGGTCGAGAACTCAGTAATACTGCAGTCCAGGCCAAAACAAACTCTATATGATGTACTACTGATTTCCTTTTAAGTTCCCTTTTTTGCTAAGACTGACTTCCTTTTATTTTACTCCAACTTGCATTAATCCCAGTTATAGTAGTTTCTTTCCTCTCTCCCTTGCTTCTAACTTCAAACATTTTTTTTAACATAGGAAACAAGTGACTTTTTTTTTTTTAAAGATCTACTTTAAAAAATAAAGGATCTTGTGACTTTGGAATATATTTTGGCAGCCTGCAGTTTCAGAGTTCACTTTCAAACAGAGTTAAAGCTGAAATGCCTACGTGACCACCATTGTGGTCACCGTGAGCCAAACTACCTGCTTATCTGATCTCCTCTGGGAATGAGATAGTCGACACCTACAGTGGTCATTTAATAATTAGAGGTTTTATTTGCGAGAGGCCATAAATTCCCTGAACAGTGCTATCTCTTTCTGTGCACTTCCATGATGAGAGCTGGGTGTTGACTGATTGCCCAAGGAGATCAGAGCCCAAGCATGCTTAGGCCTGGTATTTTTAGCCCAAGTTCACATTCTGTCCTCTCTCCGGCAGCAGTTATTGTTACTGTTGTCATTGACTTCCATAGGAAAGGTTGTGCCAGCCAGGCCGACTGACCAAGCCACCACGGAGCCCCAGCCAGCAGAAGGCAGGATGTGGTTAAAACAGCTCCGATCCTATCTCAGGAAACCTATTAGTAGCTTGGGGATTTTCTGGAAGTCCTTCTCTCCCATCCGCTATCCCCACCTCCTGTCCCCTTCTCGGGGTTTGCAGGCTGAGCTTACAGGACAACTTGAATCACAAAGTGGGGTTCCTCTTGGAACCTTAGTTCACTGAAGCGGATGCCTGGGCATCTTTCACCATTGTGCCTTCCTGGGGACGGAGTTGGTCAGAACATTCCCTGGAGCATGTTCTCTTCGATCTCCAGATTCTTGTCTGTATTATTTAGTGGTAGTGAGAGGACTAGGCTTAGAGGTCAAGTAATACCTGGGGGACATCAAGCATGCCAGCACTAGGCACTTTTCGGAGTCCCAGTTCTCATCTCATAAATGGAGGTCATAATTATGCTGATGTCACAAAATTGTTATGCGTGTTACTGAGGATGTATGTAAGTGCTATGCAAATTTTGATAGGTTAGAAGAGATTCAATTATATTAATTATCTGTATCATCTTAAAAGAGCCATTTCTTTTAAAAAAAAAACATTTTTAGTTGTACATGGGCACAATACTTTTATTTATTTATTTATTTATGTGGTGCTGAGGATTGAACCCAGGGCCTTACACATGCAAGGCAAGCACTCTACCACTGAGCCATAACCCCAGCTTCCATTGCTTTCTTTGAGCCTCAGAATATCCCCATAAAAGTTAGACTGACAGATCAATATTCCCATTTAATGGATCAGAATATTGAGGTCCAGAGAACTGAACTGTGCTTTGCTTAATGTCCCCAAACTTATAAGAACCACCATCCAATGGAAACACAATGCAAGTTATTCATGTAATTTAAAATTTGCCATTATGCACCTTAAAACCAATTATAATAAGAACATATAAAATTAATTTTGAAATGTTATAGTTAACACTTTAGCCCAATCTAGCCCAAATCTTATTTCAGTGTATGGCACTGGCCATAGTTCCAGTGCTCAGTAGCCACATGTGGCTGGTAGCTATCCTATTGGACAATGCAGAAAAGAGCATTTATTAAGCAATCACTAGGAAGATACATACACATTTAAGACACAGACCCTGTATTTGAGAAAGTTTGCATTCTGGGGACCAAGGAAATGGCCTTAAAACATTTTTTTTCTTGTTATCCTCCTATGTGGAGACCCTTTGGAATCAGTGGGACTGTGCTTTTAAGTCTGAGAAAGTTTCTGAATCATAAAGTTAGATATTTTGGGTTTGCACATAAACTTCTGTCACTCATCATCTTTTCCCATCATATTCTTCATCTTATGCAAAGATTAAATAATTTCAGAAAGATCCCACATCCCCAAAGGGCCTAGAAAAATTGTCAGCTGGGGCTGAGTGATTTTAGTTGGTGAACAATTTTTTAAAAATTAGTGACAAAAATATAGAGCTACCTGGGGAATACAATGCCTGTTGGCTGAGATTAATGGCAAGATTAATAAATGGATTGCTTGATGAAAAGGTGCAGGAGAACAAAAACCAGTGGAAAGATTGTGGAGGAGGCCGCTTATTAATGAACTGTCAGCCCAAAGAAAGTTCAAGAAACTCTCCTGTGGTAAATGCGGCAGGCTGGCACTTCTAATAAAAGTTGGGGTCCTTCAGGAATTAATTACACCAGCCTTACAGCAAGAATTTGTGGAATTGCGAAATGTAGTGGCACAGACCAGCACGGGCTGCTGTTGCAAACAGGGAAGCTGCAGGAGAAAGTAATCATTTTTTTCATTGATATGTAGGATATTGTAGTAGCATAATAGCCATTTGGACATGGGGATGAATGATGGGGTCCAGATATACGCTGACTAATGAAATTATGCATACTTGGAGTTTGAAGTCACTTCACTTTTCATATGCAAAATTCCCTCCTGCAATCTGATTTCCTTCTTATCCCATGTGCCCAACACCAAGGAGTTCCAAATAATTTGCAGAGTGATTATATGTGAGTCAGATGGACTCCACCATGATTTATCAAGCTATGCAGAGGGAGCCCAGTATTCATTTATTCCATGTTGCTGGAATTTCTCTTATCCCTCCACAAGTCCCTAGTTCAGTTGGCCTGAGCAAACCCTCTCTGAATTAAAAATTAGTGTTGCAACGGAAAGGAATGCCATGACAAGACGGAGATTGTCCAGGATTTGGGATCTGATATCACACGGTAGATATTGAAGGCTGCTTATCTTCTTTCACTTCTGCCACGAAGGTAGAGTGAACATTTTCTCCTGTAATGTGTTTAGACGTGAGGTTTCCAGACAAATCATTAATCTCTAGGGTCTCTGGTTTCATAATTAACTATTTCAGTTCTGGCCTCAATTTATTCTCAATAGGTCTTAGTAATTCAGATTTCTGGTAATTGATTTATATGCTGATTTTCTTAGGAATAAGATAAACATAAAGGAGAAAGAAAGGCTTTTGATTGGTTTGCATGGTGGTGTGTTTTTTCTTTTGGGAATCTTAATGTAAATCATTGGCTGCTTTTTTTTTTTTTAAAAAACTCCATTTGACTCGTACCAGGATTATAAAATTTATATAGAGAATAATTCCTTCAGCTGAGCACAAAGTTTATCATCCTCTTTCTTTGGCTTGTCACATCCTTGTGTGTTAGGTCATCCATCACCCATCACTCGGACTTTTCAGGCCCTCATAATCCACATGATACTTATCCTTTTGATTAAAACAACTTAATGGCCTTTTCACGAATAATTAATCTGCTGCCTTTTGACTCTCAGCTCCAGGCTTTTAACTTTAATGTTGAGTTATCCAGCCTGTGTTGCCTTTCAAAGTTTCCCTCCCTTCAGTCTCTTCTCCTCCAAGGTTTAATACCTCTTTAGAAATGCCAGTGTCTGCTATACTAAGGTTTTGTAAAAAGCTTCCAAATTACCCTCACATCCCTTCTGCTGTGTGTGAAGTGAATAACTGTTCAGAAATCAGTGGGATGGAATGAAAATAATTTCAGACACACATATTCTGTCATTCTGGAAAATGCAGAGGCTTGCACTGTAAAGACAGATTAAAACTCCATTGCTTTTGAAGACAATCGTATTTGTGCGTGTGAGTGTGCATGTGCACTGTGCATGGTTATATGTTTCTAACTCTGGATGTTTTCCAACAGTGACAATTTATATCAGATGACCTCCCAGCTTGAATGCATGACCTGGAATCAGATGAACTTAGGAGCCACCTTAAAGGGGTAAGGTTTTTATTCCATTGCCCTTTAACAGCGACTTCTACCTATTCAAGTCATTTAAAAGGTGCTTGTAACTTACAAAGGGCGTACAGTTTTAGAAAAATGTAGCATTAAAATGTTTTCTTCTGTCCTCCAGTTGGTGGGCTGTGTTCATTAAATTTTCAAAAACACAAACGGGATATTTTGTCTGGACTAAGGGAATTGAGAATATTGGAGACATTTAATATGGTCTCTCCTTGTTGAATGTTTTAAAATTCTGCAAGGTTGTGTCCATGCAGCCTTGTTTAATGTTAATATTTGGCTAGCAGCATCACAGATGTTAACCATTATACTATCTTATCCAAGAAATGCTTTGCATGTAAAAAATCCAGAATCCAAATTACTATCTGTGTGAGGATGATTTGGAAAATCCAAAGTCAGATGTGCTCATACCTAATTGCACCAACAGGTTTTGCTCACACACAATATACAGCCACCATAGAGAAAGAGTTCAGTTGCCGAACATAGGAGCTTCTCCTTGCACCTAAAAATGAAGGAAGGATGGAACACAGGTGGGTGGGGCTGGCTTTCAGCAATAAAAGAACTCACTTTGTTTTCTAATAAGTCTTGAGGAGCTGGCAGTAGGATACCACACTCATGAAGTGCTTGTGATGTGGCAGGTACTTTCCTAGGTTACCTTGGCTTCTCTCCTAACAGCCTTATGAGGTGTAGGTACTGTAGTTACCTGTTTTATAAGCTCAGAGAGTCACGTAACTTCCCAGGTTCACATCCTACTAAGTGGTCGTGCTGGGATTCCAAGTCCAGATCTGTCCAGAGATTTCCAAAGCCCAGGCTCTGTCCAGCCTCTCTCTAGTGCCTTCGAAATCCCACCACTGGCCTAGTGGGATTAGGGACTTAGTTCAGCACTCTTGATGAGTCAGCTAGCATCAATGTCTCTGTGTATTCCATGGTTTCTCATTAGAATCTGGGATCAGGGGGGCTTTCCAGAGCCCCCATGCTCCATTCCCCATTCCCACCTCTTCTTCTCTTCTAGAGTTGCTACTGGGAGCTCCAGCTCAGTGAAATGGACAGAAGGGCAGAGCAAGTGAGTGATCAATGGCCTTGTTGACTGACGTCTGGGGCAATGCAGGAGTTAGGACTGACATGGGTAATCAGGGAGCAGATGGGGGGTGGGAAAATATATCCCTACTCCCCACCTCTTCATGTTTATCATAGACGTGCTACAGGTCAAATGGAGGTGGAAATGTTTCTTCTCAGCATACTCCTGGAAAAAAAAAAAATATATATATATATATATATTTTTTTTTTTGGTACCAAGGATTGAACCCAGGGGTGCATAACCACTGAGCCACATACCCAGCCCTTTTTATTTTTTATTTAGAGATAGGGTCTCACTAAGTTGCTTAGGGCCTCACAAGTTGCTAAGGCTGGCTTTGAACTTATAGTCCTGCTGCCTCAGCCTTCTGAGCCACTGGGATTATAGGCGTGTGCCACTGTGCCTGGCTGGGGAAATAATTTTTAAAAATCATGCAGCAAGAACTCTGTTCATTTCTTTGTGAGTGTCACAAAACACCAAATTTGTGACATTACCCATGTTAGATTAGTCAAGTCTTTCAGTCTTAACTTGGGTAAACTTGCTTTTCTCTATTTACCTTTGAATCTCCCAAGGAGAACTTAGTTTTTACTCTAAATCTGTGGCCAGGCTTTGTGAAGACTTTTTTTTTTTTTTTCTCATTCGCAAACATTTGTGTCTTCCTCAGCTTTATACCTGCACCCTGGGGCATTTCTGTGGCTATTTTGTTTTGTTTTATTTTCTCTGCTGAAACACCAGTCAGGTTGCATCTTTCTTCCTTCTTTCGTTGGCTCAGTTCTGTTTTTTGGATCATCCTTCAGCGATCAACTTCTAAGATTTACTCTCAGATCTTTCTCCCCACCCCCACCCCAATTTTTCTGCTCTTGTATCCAAATCTCTACTTCCTCTCTCTGGATTCCAAAGTAGAAAGCCTTCTGTTGCTTTGGATTCTTCTCTTCCCACTTCCATCCAAGGGGCAGCTGACAATTTTAGCCTTCTGTCCTCCTCTGCTGCCAGCTTCTTTTACATTTCTTGGCTTTTCGGGTCCCACCCTGTATTTCTGAATTCCTTCCTTTCCTTCTCTCTACTCAGAATTTAGTAACTCTTCTCATATTAAATGCCAACAACAGACAGAACATGAGTGCCAAGTGAGAAGTATGTTTCAATTTTTAGAATTTCTGCATGCTGGACTACAGGGTTGGTTGGTTGGTTTAATTACAAAAATTACAGATAAGGAATCTTGGCATGGTTTGAATCCTGATCTTTCCAGAGTTGAGATAATTTTGATACTTTTAAAGGTCTCCAGATATGTGATATTAGTCACTAACTGGGGAGTCAGAAATTATAATATAAGCATGAAGCACAAAGTGCAAATAGTTTTTGTTCAATCTTGTGTAAGAGGAAAAAAACTAGAAGTTTTCATTGATTGGCTATTTACATCTTGGAAGGATTTCTGAAGTTAAATTTTTTTAATACAATCTTTATTTAGAAAGCTATAGAACAAGGATCCAATAGCCCCAATGTATAGTCCCATATAAAACAAAAAATTACAATTGTCTAATTTTCTTTTTCCTTTTTTCTCCTTTTTTTTTTTTTTTTTTGGTACCAGGGATTGAACTCAGGGAACTTAACCCCTAAGCCATATCCCCAGCCCTTTTTATTTTTCAGTTTTGAGACAGGGACTCACTAAGTTGCTGAGGGCCTCACTGAATTGCTGAGGCCAGCTTTCAACTTTCAATCCTCCTGCCTCAGCTTCCTGAGTTCCTGGGATTACAAGTGTGTACCTGTCAACAATTGTTTAATTTTTCTGACATCTTCTCTTACATGGTAGATTTATCCCTTAGAACATATTTAAGTCAATTGATTTCTGCTTACATTTTGGGAATTCCCACTTATTTAAGGGTACATATAGGGCTATACATGTTTTCTCTAATGACCTTACTACTGTCATCACCCCCTGCCCACCCCAAAGCTATGGTCATGTCCAGATGAGGCTGGAGAGATTAAACCATTTAACCCAGTCCATGGAGTAAGTGGCAGAGCCATGTTGGAATTAGCTTCTTTCTGACTCCGGCGGGACCTGGCCTTAGAGTTTCTTAGACTTTCAGATTATGACCACAGTTAGAAATACCTTTTGCACTGAGCTCCAATAGACACACAAAGCACAAATTTTCACTAAACAGTAATTATCCTTATGATATGTTTTTGCTCTGCTGATCTTTTCAACTCTATTCCACATGATTTTAAAAAATACTGTCTGTGACATACTAGACTGATTTTACAGTCCACTGATGTGTCACAACTCCATTTTGCTTCTCTTTTTACTCTCAAAGGTGGTGATTCCTTAGCTCTTTCCTCTGAACCCATGAACAGCTGAGAACTGAATTTGGGTGGATCTTAAATTCCAGTAGAAAAATTGGCTTCTTCCCAGAAGAGACACAATCCAGGGTGGAGTCATTATTCCCTCTGATACTGAATTTACTTTCTTTTGCCATGATACAAACATTGTTAATATGGAAAAGACATTTGGGAAATGAAACGATACTTCATGAAGTAGAGAAAGACAACTTTTTGCTTTCATCCTTAACTAGTAGTATCCTGACATGGGAAAAATCATGGTGGCAAGCTAGAGCTATAGCAGGAAAAACTGGCTTGTTGGGGGCAAGAGAATACCAGAGAGAACGTAGGGACTAAGTTGCTTAGGGCCTTGCTAACTTGCTGAGGCTGGTCTTGAACTTGTGATCCTCGTGTCTCAGACTCCTGAGTTGCTGGGATTACAGGCATTTGCCACCATGCCAGGCTTAGCATAATTTTAAAAAGACATAATTTCTATATCACTTGTGAAAATAAGGCATGCTTAATTTTTAATGAAATATTATATGCTTTAGATGAAATCCCTCTGAATACTTACTCATGTCTTCTTTCCTTGAAAGCTACTTAAAAAAAAAAAAAAGTGACTCCAAAAAGAATAGTCTTGTTTCCTTGTGTCCTAAGCAAGTCCACGGAGACACCTTTATTAAATATCAGCAGCAGTGCTGGAATGGGTGAGGATAGGATTTTGAAGGAGAGGATGATATGGTAGGGAGTTGCTATTGCCTGCTGACTGAGTCCTTGTCCTCCTTCCTTTACTCATTTTCTCTCTCTCCATCTTTTTTTTTTTTTCTTTCTTCCTTTGGTGCTGGAGATTGAACCAGAGCCTCATGCACACCAGGCAAATGCTCTACCACTGACCACATCCCCACCCTGCCTTACTCATTTTCTGACTTCGGCTTGTAAGCTACTTTTATGACCTCAAATGGAAGAATCCCATGTTTCAATTTATGTCAGAAAGAAGGTACTGAAACCTTCTTTCATGAAACCACTTTCTGACACCCATAAAAAAGTGAAATTAGATTTTAAAAGCAGGTCCGTGGTGGGAGAAATTGCTGAGGAATTTTTGTAAGATTAATCTGCCTTTATGAATCCTATTCATGATGCCTTGTACTGTTAGCTTTTCATTTCTTTAAAAACATTTTCTATGAGTATTCTTAAGGGTTGCTGATTTACAAAGGTTGCTAATAAGCCTTGGCTACCCTGTTGGCCTCTGTTTTGTCTCTTCTGAAGAAAATATCCTGCAAAATGGAGAAACACATCAACCTTGACTGTGGTCCAAGTTATTAAAGAGAGGAGGAAGTTACTCTGTGGGGACTGGGGTAGGGGGAGTGGGAAATGGAACACAATAGAAATGTAAAAGGAGCGCTGAGCAAAATGAATGTCCCTTCACTGCTCCAAGAAGTTCACAGGCTGTTGGGAACACACAGTATTTGACCTGAGGATGCTCGAAAGGAAAAAACGAGAAGACTCCCAGTGAGTGATGTATGGTGCAAACAAAGCTGTGCCTTTTGGTAGGGCCAAGGCTGTCGAATCTGGAGAAAATCCCCGCTAGACATGGTCTCATCCCTGAGAACCTGTGCCAAAAGAGATAGCCGAGCCTCTGGCCGGGAGCTCCACACGCAGCCCCGTGCCTTCCCTTGTGGGCTTGTGAACATAAGGTACCCGTCCTGGAGATTTACTTCTTGAAAGCAGATAGCCTGCTTTTAAGTGGCTGCTAGAGCTTGAGATGCAAAGCAAAGGTGGGGAGCCTCAGTTCTGGGAATCTCAGCAGTCCCGCGAACAGGCGCATTCCTGAGCGCACTCCTCCATCTCCACCCCAGCAGAAGGCTGTGGATTTCCCCCTTTGAAACAGCAACACGTGTGTCATTGAAGCAGCTCTTTCTTTATTATTGTATGGGACTTAACTACCAGAAGGAATAATGGGCTCCTGTTCCATGGTGATGGAGCTGATGACCTAGTGCTACCCCCCCTCCATGCCCCCACTTAAGGAAGACTAATTCAGATGCTTCTTGGCCCTCATGTCTCACTTTCCTGCTGCTACTTTTACCTTCCCTGGCTGTTGGCCTTTCCCACCCTTTTTTTTTCCTTGGGGCATGTATTCAACTAATGTATTTGTATTTATTAAGTAAGTAAGATATATAAATTATAGAACATTTAGAAAATACAATTATACAGGGAAGGAAATCACCCCACCCCCCAGTAACTTAAATCAAGCTATGAATGGTGGATAAAGGGGTGTGTGTGTCTCTCATGGGGAGAGGGGACATCAGATGAGGGAGGATATCTTCACCACCCAAAGGAGTATTTTGGAACTTCCTCTGGGCCCTTGTGAGACTATCTGCTCATCATTTATAAGAACAGATCATATCGTCTAGCTAGAAAAAATATTGATCTAGAATGCACACTGATAAAAAGTCATCCAGATGTTTCTTAGAAATAAGGGGCTACTGCCTCGTTTCATAAGAGTTCTTCTACCGAAAGTGAACAAGTTCATGTATTCTAGCTTTATTTTCATCTCTTAATTTTTAACACAAAGTCACAAAGGGAGTGCTTTATAGGCGAAGATGGTAACTTTATCCAAAATAAAAACAGCCTTTTTCCCCCTTTGATTAGAACAGTAGCACAGGCTTATCACTTAA